GAAAAGTACAGCAGAAGACAGAAGCAAGTGGAGATGTGCAGTTGAAGCCCTATGTTCCACTAGGAACCCAAGGAAACAATAATATAGCCTCAGCATATTTCAGTAAGCGCCCTTGACCGTTTGTATAGATGACCTTAAAGGCTGAGTTAACATCAATCTTATGGTTCATCTCGATTAGATGTTTAGCTACAGACGAAGTTGGTAGTCTGATACCTGCATCTATTGGTTTTCCACAATTCATTTGTTTTTCCAACCATTTCGGGATTTGCTCTCCCCCCGCTGACATGCAAAGCACAATTACTCCTCCCTATGTATGTATGTCCACACACACACGAAAATTGGTAAATAGTGTTGGATGTGACATAATCACTTGTGCACTTTTGAGGTTTGCAGTGGAGCATATTTTTGGCTCTTTCAATAATTACAAGCCGGGCTGCATAATACGTTCTACGGAGGACCGAATTCAACCTTTGTCTCAAAATCCTACTGTTTATTTCCCCGTTATATGGTAATTTGATGAAAACATTTTTCTTAGGGACGGTATAGATTGTAGGTTTAAAGACTAATTGACTTCTACACCTGTTTAAAAATTTTAAAGGATATCCGTTTTCAACAAGAGTATCCATCAATATTTCACTTTCTCTCTCTATAACATCAGCTGGGCAAATACGTTGAATCCTCTTAAATAGACATTTCACCAAGCCACTCTCTTATACTGTAATGGACAGAAACTGTGAAAATTAAGGTACTGCCCTGTCCAAGTGGGCTTTCTGTAGATTGATCGTCTTATTGAACCATCATCTCTTCGACTCAGAAGTATGTCTAAAAATGCAAGAGTTACGTCTATCTAATAGACGGCTCGCATCTTCATGATCGTCGCATATCAAAATGATATCATCTACATATCTCTTATAGAAGGGCAATTTAGAAATTAAATCAAGAGACAAGTTTTCAATATAAGACATGTAAACGTCCGCTAACAAAGGTCCTAATGGACTCCCCATAGCAACACCATCCACCTGTCGCAAGTGTTCACCTTCAAACTTGAAATGGACGTTTGAAATTTCTACTGTGTAGAATAGTATGAAAATGTGATATAATCATTGTGTACATTTCAGGCGAGAATTTGTGTAATTCATCTTTCTATGCTGGATCGTCTAAATCGTTAGGTAGTTGTAAGAAATCTCCAGGAAGGTGAAGATGTTGGTATCAAGGTAACTGACACTGAATGGCGTGAGTTCGAATTTCTGAGATGAGTTCGGAGATGCATCCTTTTGACAAATGTCAACAAGCAGAAGATCTAGATCCAGGGATTCCTACCATTGTGATGATCCATTCGCCTAGCTTATTGATCACGTTTCACTGGATACCTTGATTGATCACGAGGTAGTAGTAACGAATGCCATGCGTCTATTCGTTGGATTGGTGCAGGCTGAGTTCTACCAGGGTTAAGTTTGCAATGTCGTTACCATTCTAGATGACTCGCCATTGTGGTACACACTGAATTGGTGTTAGGTAATTGGACGGTATAGGCAGGGAGGCTTGAACCTAAGTTTTCTATTTACTGCTACTCGTCAGCAAGGCGTATCTGCTATTTTGAAGGAACACATATGCATACTGAGATTCGAACCCACGTCATCCACTTCTGACTGTATTGCAAACTTGACTGATAGGATTCAGTTTGTATCAATCAAAGGACAAGGCGCATGAGATAATTTACTCACTCTTTTCCAATCAAAATATATTCCTTACAGTCCTACAGAAGGTCAATGGCGAGACCAAGTAGGTCAGTGGTAACGTCTATAACTGCAGGACAGGGTGACACGGATTCGAATCTCAGGAGAGAGATGAGTTCCTTCTTCAAGACTACTGAGAAGTGCTAACAAGCATAAAACCTAGATCCAATGATTCCTTCTGATTGCCTCCAATCATCTAACACATAACACTGGCAATATCTTATTGACTAATCATTGTAATTTATTCTTACAACATAATTAATAATAATAATAATTTGCTTTATTCCAAAACAGTGAGATAAGGAGATGAGAAGCGGTCGAGGTCGAGCGTCAAAGGAAATAAATTCTACAGGTCATTTCAGAGGCCCACTTATCTAGATTCTTAGTGTAATTGTGTTATCTTAATTGAATATTTTAATTTCAAGACTTTCAATACTCACCTAGAAAATATCTTCAGTTCTGACTTCAGAAATTAAGTAAGCTTTTATAAGCCTGTGAAGTGTTCATATATATATATATATATATATATATATATATATATATATATATATTAGTAATTATTGTTATGTGTGGAGGATTTCATCATGAGCTGACATCAGTTAGAGAACCATTGGAAAACCTGAAAGTACTGGACAGCTGTTTCGTTCTGGTTTGTGACTCTTCTCAGTAAGCACCCACTGGGGCTTGAACCGATGAACTTCTAGTTACAAGGCCAGCGAGCTCGTAGACCATTAAGCCATTGAGACCTGATCCAATGGCCAACCCATGAATTCTAACTTCTGCCGATTCACGACATAGCGCGACCATTTCGCAATGTCTTCTACGATGAGTTACAGCCTCATCTTCAGTATGCTGTACCCTACTGGTCACAGCTTCCCAAAAGAACCCTAGGTCACTGCCTAAAAATGACCAGTCGCTAGTGAGCGTCAGATGAGGCAGTAACTAATCGAAGAAGAAATTGCGAAATGGTAGTGCTACGTCGTGAATCGGCAGAAGTTAGAATTCATGGGCTGGCCATTGGATCAGGTCTCAATGGCTCAATGGTCTACGAGCTTGCCTTTTAACGAGAAGTTTCTCGGTTCCAGCCCCGGCAGGTGCGTACTACTGAAGAGTCACAAACGAGGAGGAAACAGCTGTCCGTTACTCCCTGCAGGTTTTCAAATGATTCTCTAACTGATGTCAGCTCATGATGAAATCCTCTATCCTATCAAACAAAATCCCTACAAAAAACCAATATTTGAAAATTATTGTTATATTATCCATCCCTTGGGTTCCAAATGAACTAGATAACCTCAGTAACATGTCACTGGCATATTCTATTCTCTGCAGTCTTTTGAACCGAGTTGACTGTTGCTCACAAGCTTTCATTTTCCCTCACTATTATGACGGTTTTCAGAACCGCTGGAAGCTAGGACCTTCAGTTTGCAAGGTGAGTAGTCTCTTGGACATTCATCTACTTCCCTGAAATTCAGTGACTAGCGAATTCTAACCTCTGACTATTCGCGATAATAGGTGAAGTAGACAACCAACGGGTGATCCTCACCGGTCACGACTTTTCAGTAAAACTTCAAGACATACATCTAAAAGTTATTAATCAGTAGGAAACTTATATTCAAATTTTGAGTTTTGTACCGATTTCGATTGATGCATTTGATGCAATTAAAGTAATCGAAATTCTACCAAGCCCAAAATCAGAATCATAAATTGTTATATACACCTGATTTTGCCTAATTTTGCCTAAGACCTTAAAATAACTAGTTTAAGCAGTTATCGTGCACTGGCGTGTGAACCCTTTGTTTTTCCCTCTGTTTGGATTGCTGGATTCCTATTGGCTGTTAACACTTTTAATGCATCAATGAATTACCACCTCATTTTAAACGTCATTCTAACTGTACATATACAAAGTTTCTGTCTAGCATTTCGCCTGTTGTTTGGGACAGTAAAAGTTCTCTTATCGACGTCGAGTCTTTTCCTTTGTCTTTGCGTACCGGCGGTGTTACTATTGTTGTTGTTGTTGACGACGAAATTAAACTTTAAGCACCTCTAACTACCAAAGTGCATAAGACGTCGAACGGATCAATCACGTGAAGGAGGCAATTTTGTGTATGGAATACTTATATATACGAACAAAACTGCATAAAAACTGTAGAAAAGTGTTACAGAGGATACCTTCCTCCCAAATGTGATAAAAATTGCTCTTAGTTTTAGGTTGGAGTATCAACAGAGCATAATTGCATTGTGGGCAAAATTCATTCTGATAAAGTTTCATAGTGTTATACAGTAATATTTACTGAGCAATAAATTGTGCTCGAAACTTGTCATCAGTAAATATTACTGTGTAACACTGTGAGACTTTATCAAAATAAATTTTACCCCGCAATGGAATTATACTCTACCGCCACAGTGCACAAGTTCTATTCTTATATCAACAGAGTAATTTAACCACATTCTATGCATGTAATTATTTAGGTCTTATAACTCTAAAAATAACCTTAATCTTTCTTGAACCTAACTCTAACGTGAACATATCACTAAACTAACTGTAATCTAACTCGAACCAGCCCTAATGTCGCCTTCATTAGGTTAACCTAACTCTAACTTGTCCTTGGCTTAAACCGTGACTTAATCTTTCTCAAATCTAAGCTGAAACCTGCCAGATATTTGATTTAACAACATAACAATTCGATGAGGATATTTTATTGATGATGACAACATTATTTGCCAGGTTTCACTAACTCGCTCAGTGGGCGTTTCAAGGCCACTGGTACAGTCACACTCCATTGGCAGTAGTTAGTGGTGCTTAAAGTTTAACTTGACCTTGTTGACGTGAGATTAGGACAGATTAACCAGAGCACTAAGTTAGTTAGTTAGTTAGCTAGTACCATTTTATTGTTCCGGCCATTATATAAATCAGCTTCGGTGATAGAGCGAGAACTGCCGTCTTAAGCTTATTATATTCATCGATGGCAGTTCAGTGATAGACTGCTCTCCAGCTAGGCAAGCACTCCATGTTCATTTCCCGGCTGACTCACTCTTAAATCTCATTTAGCAGGTAGTAGACGCGGTAGAGAGAGGGAAGATTTGATGTGAGGCTATTTACCCCATCCCGTAAACATCAACACCACCATTACTGAGACTTCAGAACTCAAGGTTGAGTCCTTATGTTCCACTCGGTGTAGCAAGGAGTGGAGAAAAAGAAGTCAACCAGATTAATAAATAAGAGCAATGCAGATCAGATGTTTCCCGCTTCGACTGTAAACCTACCTTCAATATTTGACTACAAAATATCCTGACTGATTCTGAACGAAGCATTTTTAGCAGATGCGCTAAATCTGGCGCTGACATTGAAAATTCCCCAAGACATTCAAGTATTCTTAAGAACATTTCAAAAATTTTGCGTGTTTGACAAAAATGACTCTTCACTTCCTAAAAGGAAAAAAAGCACAACAAGAACGGAAAAATATTATATTTGTTGAAATCTCAACGATATTGAAATAAATCATAACAATGTTACATCATTTGAAAAATCGATCTTAACTTCCTCAAGTAGCATTATTGGAATTGAAGTTATTTTGGGGCTGCTTGTCTTTTTACTTTTTGATTACAGCTTGATTCTACACTGTATGAAATTTTCAGCATGTGATATTGGTAGTCGGCCCAAATGTTGCAGGCCGACCATAGATATCAGGTGTGCGCCGGCAGGGGATCGAAACCCAGACCATGTGCATGATCGGCGAGAGTCCTAACCGCTGTGCCACCGACGCACATGTATGAAGTTATGACTGGTTTTCCAAAGAAATCTTCATCAAAGATCTACTTATCATAGGATCGGAATATATGTATAAGACTTGGAAGGTTTGGTAGTAAGTAATTCCATATTAGTTTGTTTATTAGATATATCACACAGTGAAGAAACAGTATTACTTACTGGATGACAAGGTTTCGAACACAATTTACTGTTCACAGTCATATCAGTTATGATCACACGACTTCGAAACTTGAAATTTATAGTTTTCTTTGTTCTCTCCTATTTTTCGTCGTAGGGGTAGTAGAATTTTCTAAGGAATCTAAATCATCACTAGTGCTTCCATACAAGGAAGGAACCTCGGAAATCACCTTACGGAGAATCCTGAACAATGCAGGAATAAAAGTAGCTAGCCTACAAACTCAATTGGAAAGAAGCTTTGTCAGTTCAAGGATCAATCCTGTGGAGCCTTTAAAACAAAACAATTTAGTTTATCTAATACACTGCCCGCAATGATTGTCAGGTGAAATATATAAGTCAAAGTATTAGAACAGTGGCAGTCAGACTAGGCGAGCATAAAAACCTGGCAGCGAAATCTAGATTAGTTGACCCGAATAAGATAAGAAATCTAGAGAATAGTTCAGCTATACCACTCACTACATGCAATTACACACAGCCATACAGGTAGGATGATGGGATAAGATGACAGTTTTAAAATCTAATGTCACAGTATGAAGGGAGAGATTTATAACGTAAGCTTGGTCTATCGAATCTACTGCAAACACGTGTAATAGGATTAATTCAACACCTGTCCATACAGCCGTCTAGAAAATTCTACCGCCTCTACGACGATAAATAGGAGAGAACAAGGAAAACTATAAATTTCAAGTTTCGAAGTCGTGTGATTATAATTGATATGATTGTGAACAGTAAATTGTGTTCAAAACATTGTCATCCAGTAAGTAATACTGTTTCTTCACTGTGTGATATATCTAATAAACAAACTAACATAGGGTCGGAAGTTGAAATAAACATCAAACATCAAATAACGGTGAGTAATTACACCGTGTACGAACATGTCATCCTCGACAGACGGCTGTTTTTGACCACAGATGTTTACGATCTCTTTCTCGCGTTAGGTGGTATAATAAAGTAATTAATGTTCACGTTAGGCGTAGAGTGTTGGGCAAAAAGGGAAAATCAATCCACGAGGCTATAAATTTACATAGATTGAGATGGTAAGGTCACGTGCTGCGTATGCCTAACCATCGTCTCCCCCGACGGGCATTACTAGATGATATAGGTGCAGGTTGGAAAAGAGTAAGTGGTGGCCAAACAAAAACATGGCCTCATCAATCCATGAAATCCTTGACAGTTAAACTGAGTCAGGTAGGGAGATGCAGACTTCCGGGTTGGGGTCAGCCCTCGGGACTCTAAGAATCAATGGCTGGAGATAATAGGTGACATGGCTCAAAATCGTTGTCAATGGCGCAAATGTATTCAGTTTCTGTAATTTTTCATATTCGTTTCTACCATTACTCATTCTGTTTCTCTCTTATACTTGTCAAAACTCTATTGATTCCCTTCACTCATTTTCCTGTCTACCTTTGTGTGCTCTTTGGAACGTGGCAACTCGAACTGCTGGACTTCGGTGCCAAGTTCTATGTTGAATCCAGCAGCAGCAGCAGCAGCGACAGACGGCTTTAGATAAAGTCACATTCAGTAATAGGCAGTAGTTACATTGGTCACGATAGCGTAATTAACTGACATAGTGTTCATCACAGAGAACTTGGTTAGTAACGATAAGATAAAGTTACCAACCTCAATAGAGGGTATCACAAGCTCAAATCTGGGATAAACAAAATGAGTTTCTTTTCAAGATGTATCTTATAAAAAGCCTTGCTTGAAGTAGACCTTGTGCACTCCAGCATAGTCACAAGTGCCACAACCGAACTTTAACAATGTTTTTGTATTTCGAAACACTGGCGAAGTATGTACCTCAAGGGCGGGGGTGTTTTTGATGTTATAGCGTTCTCTTAAACGGACAGTTTAATTGCGAACATTTCGTTATCTGTCTAGTTAGCATCTTCAGTGCAAACTTCAATATAAAGTCCGCACATTCTCATATGACTAATTCTTTATTATGATGAGTTGGTTTGCAGAGATTTAATCAGCTACAGGATTGATCACGAGAAGACCGTTGGAAACTATCAGGGCCTACTGGACAGCTACTTCTTTCTGATCTCGGAGTCTTGAGGAGTATGCAGCTACCAAGGTGTGAACTCAGGAACTTCCTGGTAACAAGGAGAGCTCATAGACCACCCAGCCAGTTAGTCCCCTAACTTGTGTTAGCTCATGATCAATCTCGTAATTCTTTATCAGTTGATACGTCTGAGTACCATTTTCTAACCAAACTGATACCCATAGTTCTCTACATGTATTAATATGAAAGTGTAGGTATCATGGCTCTTGACGGGTGGCTTATGTTCTTGAATTCTAAGACAAGTGGGACGTGTCCTCAGATCTATATAGTGTTTTTCACAGTTGATGGAATTTATCCTGGTCTGTTTAATGTTGAACAAAGCCATTGTGTTTGTTTATGTACAATATTTCGAAATGGTTTCAGAATTCTAGCCATTATTTGAGAAGTCTCCTCCACGGAATGCTTGCTACTTGTATACCGATTGATCCGACTTTCGCTGTCGCTGAGTTCCTTGGTCTCTTTCAGGGATATCATCTCTCCAGTGCTAACTTCTAACAACTGAAGAGTGTTATCAAAGTGGAGAATGAAAATTTCACAATTAAACCATCTAGCTCAGGGGTAACAAACACCATTGAAAACATGCACCAATACGGTACAGATCTGTTCCACTATTATGACGATTGATACCGTCGTTTAACTAAGTAGGTAGAATAAATGAATAAGATCAATGCAAACAAAATTCAGTGGAAATAGTTATTCACGCAGACCTATAAGTCGTTGAGATCAAATGCTTTCGTATAATACCCTTGCTTGTCCAGGTATCCAAACGAAATTAGGAAAGCTCCTCTTAAATATTTCTTCTATATGTATTTAGTAATTTACCCATAAATGTTAAAACAAGTGCATTTAACGAACACAGAGATCTTTGAAACGAACACGAAGTTGGCCTCAAAACATCATTTAAATGGCGGTACTAACTAGGAGGCGATATTTCAAAAAAAGATCAAGCGTAGCTGTCCAATAAATTCTGTCGATAAGGGATATTCAGAATTATCCCAACAACCAACATGTGATACCAGCTTGACAAGTGGTGATTTTCGCAGCCGATTAGCTTAGTGGATAACGCTCTGGCATTTAATAATATTAATAATAATTTGCTTTATTCCATAAACAGCACTAGTGGTGCAGTGTGGAATTTTCAGCACATATATACAATATATGCATCTAATTTTATCAAACATTTAAAAGGAGTATTTAACAAAAAAAATAAATCTAAGAACACCAACCGCAAAAAAACAGGAAAAACAGGTTAAACACAAAAATAATGATAAATGCGAAAAAAATACCAAGAAGTAGAAAGGAAAATAAACATCATATAATAATAACTCAGTATTGGGTAGTGGAAGCTATGATATGATTAGGCATGGTGACAGTAAAGCTATAGTCATACAAAAAGTGATGAAATGGTATTTAAGAATGTTTATCGCCAAGAGGATCAGTTAATTTGATTGGACAACACTAAACAATCATAAAACAACATTTCAGGGTCTTTTATTGTCAGGTCTAATGCAGTGTTTGTAGTAGTAGTGTGAGTAATCCTGAATAATACAAAATTTTTTAAGGTGGTGACTATGGCGTTCACAACCAATGATTGTCAGTTTAATATTGCCGAAAAGTATAGAAAATAAGAAAAACAACCACAAAACTAATAATTACATGATGGTTAATGACAGGACAATTTTGTAAGACTCATAGTCCTAATAGAGTCGGAACCAGTAGACACACAATAGAAGGAATATAGTAAAGTACAAAAAGTAAGCCGATGTTAATAATTTAGGTAGCTAAGTATGTTTAAGAAGGAGTTCACTATAGAATACAAAATAAGAGAAATAAAAGAGCCTAAAATTATGTTATTAACAACAAAGCAAGTCATAGGTTTCACGCTTAACATTGTCTCTGTCACATAGAACACGGGCCAAGTATGGCATCGTTGAGTTCCTGTACTTGGTTGTACGAGCATAGATTATTTTATACTGATCTCTGGTTTTACTTGATGAGATACAAGGCGAGATTTGGGAATAGAGGGAGTGTTGGGGGTCGGAGAGTATGGTTTTTGGCCATTTTTCGCATGTATTCAGATGCCTTTCTACTAATGTAGTGACGAGCTGACTGAGTTTTACACCACTAGTCCTACTGACTACCTTCAACATCCTTCTCAGGATGGTGTAGTCCTTTTTCAGTAGCCCAGGAAAGATTAACGGGGAGCAGTAAAGTAGAATAGGTAAGATACAAGAGTTGACAAATTGTGAAAGTAGAGGTTGGATGATTCCAGATTGTCTAAGTTTCTTGATGTAGTAGGTTAGACAGAACACTTTCTTAGAAATCGTTAGGATATGAGATGTCCAAGTAAGGTCGGAAGATAGAACTAGACCGAGGTATTTTGCATTAGACTTAGTTTCAATTTTAGTGCCCCCAATG